CAGTAACTAATTGTGATGTCGCAAACAGATGATTATGATTTCAGGTGGTGAACAACCAGCAGGAACTAATGAACTTCCAAGGAACAAAGAAGAGAAAGCGTGGGGAAAACAGATATTCATGTCATAGTTGTTTTTTTCAAACTCAAGTTTGTATGAATATAGTTATTTCTGGTTTTTGGACAGCACCAGGTAGGAAACCATGTCAAAGCATTTTTAACTACTAGTTGGCCAGATTTCCAGAAACACATTGTCATTTTATTTCATTGTTGAGAAACACATTGTCATTTACTTCATTTTTTACATAAACGAAGTACACCAAGACAGATACTATGAAATGAAGTGTACTTGCAAGTTTTTTATGTGAAATGAGAACCACATTTGTTTTACATTTATAGACCTTGTGTTGAATAATTTTGTGAATTCTCCCTTGCGTAACTCCACATATTTCTTTTCATCGAGGGACAGGGAATGTTAGTTGAACCTTCTTATGGCTAATGTAATGTAAGAATTTTCTATGGATGATAACTTTAGCCATCTAAGATTGCATAAAATGTCTTCCTTATATTTCTTATATGCTAAAAAGAGAAAGAGATACTTTGTTTTATAACTTGATATACATTCTTACTATGTCTCAAATTTCACAGGCCACTGAGTTGCATTGTGTTTTAGTAATTTATTTTGACTTTTACTTTTTTAATTTGTGTTCATTTTTTCCTTAGGATCTTTAGCATGCCACAATCATATTTAACACAAGTTCCATAATTGTCAAGAAATTTGGCTAAGGAGTCAGCATCTCTGCACCTTCATGCTTTGATGGGCAAAATAGGAATATTATCTTAAATTCCTTGACAGTGATATCCCTGAAACCTTTTCCTGCCTATAAGGAACTTTATAATTTCATTTTTGTTACTTTGTTTTATTAAGAGAAACTGTCCATCTAATTTGCTTATTTCTAGTGCATGTGGTTTAAAAATCTCTTTTTTATATTCTAGGCACATACTGTAATGTGAGTTACCTTCAGAAAGTATAATCATTACCTTAGTATTGGTATTAGCATTTTTTCACAATGTTCTCGTTTTTCTCAAGAAATTGTTTTACTTTATGAAGTCGCTGGACAATTTTTCGAGAACAGAAAAAGAATGTTGATCCATGCTTCCTCAGCTTTGTTACATAGAAACTGTTGAGTTTGAATATGCTGTAGAAAATTATGTACACCTGACATCTTTGTGCATGTTTGTGGACTTCTTTTTATTCTTTGCATTTACAAAATAATTTAGCAAAATTTCCCAAATTTTGAATAAAGGTACAGTGTATCAAGTCAAAGGGGGCTATCAACGTTTTACCCAGAATAAACTTTTACCAACTATTGATGGGTGAATACCTCATATTTTTAAAATTCCTCAGTAGCATTTTCTTGAAAATGCAATAACTTGGGAATCAATTTAATTTCTCCAAAGATGTTTTTATTTATAGTTATTTTAGGCCATTTGTTCACTTAAGATTACCTTTGTGTCAGTGACATCCATCAACAGTGTTAAGAAACTGGTCATCTGTCATATGAGAGATAAGGTTGCCTTTGACAACTTTAAGAAAAACATTAATTTCCTACTCCTGGCCAAAGGGTAATTGTGAACATACGCAAAATAATTTGGAGAATCCGAAGGCTGTCAATTTATATTTTCATTAAAGTTTGCTATCATATCTTTCTATTGCTATAATTTAGTAATAGTTAAAATAATACTAAACTTTTCCCGGTCTTGTTTTTTAGTTTCCTTCCTTGAGTTGAAGAGATTTTTTTTTTCTGGGATTAAAAATTGGGAGTATCCATTATGAATATTGGATGTATTCCTTAGTATCTCTTTTTACACTGAATCATCCATTTTGTTGCCAGGTTTTTGTGATTTTATAATACCCTTTTCAGGTGATAATGCAAATATATTGTCAATGAAAGCATTTTATGATACTTGGCTGTAACTTATCATTGCTGTTATTCACACTTCTGAGTTTCCATCCATAGTTCTGATTCCATTAGCTGTACCTCTTTTTTCTTTATTCTCCTTTTAGGTCATAACATTTAATAATCTATATAGTCTTCCAAGATGTATTTTTAATTAGGCTACAATTTCAGTTAGCAAATTTATTTTCACAGGTGACTATCAGAGCCTCAGAGCATTTAATTGTGATTTC